AAGGCTGGAGTATATGCTACATACATACTCTAAAGCAGCTTCCCTGGTATCTCCATGCAGTTTCAGTTTTATTTACAGACCAGAAGATTTTTCTGGTCACATTGTTGTTGTTTCCAGCATCTGTGTTGGCAAGCAAGAATAACACCGACCCCACCAGTACTAATTCCCTTTGAGTGCAGTTTGCCTCAACTGAATCCATCCCAAGTTCTCAAGGACTGGAAGCACCAGCAGAGTTTTCTGGTCACGATTGTTTTAGTTTCTGGCATCTGTCGTGTCAGCAAGCAACAACACCAACCCCACCCTCAGTATTCAATCCAGACCTATCCTTTGAAGAACAATGCTTGGAGTATATGCTTCACATACTCAGTTTCAATATCCCCAGCCTTATCTCCATGCTGTTCCAGTATTATTTACAGATTGAAAGAGTTTTATGGTCCCAATCTCCGACATTCTCATCAGCAAGCAATAACGCCAACCCCAGTACCAATTCCCCCAGCTGAGTATATGCTTCATACAAACTACTCAGTTTTTACAGGGGATTCCTCAGCATCTCCATGCAGGTTCCTACATTATTCCAGTTTATTTACGGACTGGAAGCATTTTCTGKTCATGTTGTTGTTGATTCCAACATTCGTGCCGGAAGGCAACAACAACAACAACCCCAGCTGACAATACTGCATTGATCAGTATTCCCAGTACTATTCCCCAGTTGAGTGCAGTTGCCTCAGCTGGATCCCTCCCCAGTTCCTAAGGACTGGAAGCCCCAGTGCTTCTGGTCATGATTGTTGTTGTTCCTGTCTTATGTGGTTGACAGAAACAGCAACACCCCCAAGTGTTTAACCCCATGACTAGCAATGACAGAATTGATTTACTTCCAGTTTCTTCTTCAAGAAAATACTCAACCAGCTGCTCCTTTGGGCGGGCTCAGCTGTGATTTGGTGAAAGAAGTGTGACATTTCCTTTTTTCTTTTTCTTTTTCTTTTTGGCTTTTCTTTTTTTTGATTTTTTCTTTTTTACTCCATATGTCCTCGCCTACCAGGGTGAGACTTGCCTTAATTGGCTTGGCAGTGTGCGTGGCACACATTTCCTTTATCACTGTGTGTGGTAACTTGCCTACTTGTCTTAATTGGCTTTGCAGTTTGCTTGGCACAAATTTCCTTGATCACTGCGTGTGGTAACTTGCCTACGGGTTGGGGCTTGAGCACCCCCAACCTACGGGCTTGGCAGTGCCCCTTTGAAATGATAATGTACGGGTTGGGGCTTGAGCACCCCCAACCTATGGGCTTGGCAGTGCCCCTTTGAAATGATAATGGCATGGTTCTCATCCATCCAAACTGTGAACCAACTGCTTTTATGTTCTCTGAGTCTAGCATTGGGCTATCATTGGCCGATCAGTGTGCATAGAACTTGGTCGCACCTCCACAAAACCTCCTTGGAGGGAGATGTCGCCCCTTGGAGCAGCTAGAAGCATTCTTTCAAACAAAGGCTATGGTTCTGGCCATATACAGTGCCTCTTCTAGTTAACAAGGTTAAATGAAATTTTAAGATTTTTTAAAAATTTCACATCTGCCATCTTTATTTTAGGCGTGGTACTATATCAAAAATGAAGGATGGCATCATTCTTGTTTACGCTCTGCGCACCTTGGAGTGACACAGAATGTACCTTGTGCCGGATCCATAAGAGTACTCAATGTAAAGAGGAAGGACTCTAAGAAGGCTTTACTTTAAGAACTGTGATCTATGCTGTTAATACATCCAATAACTGACTTGTTGCTGGGATAACTCTGGCTTGTACTCAATGTCATTGTTGTAGGCACCAACAGAAACATGAAGACCCTGCTAAGAATTTTGTGCTAACTCATGAACAGTACTCTCATCATTGATGGTACCTTCACTACCACTCCTGTCTTCTGACAGATTGACTGAACTGTTTTCCAAATGGTTAGTGCCCTCTTCAACTGGCTGAGAGGATGCATTTCTTTCTTTATCTCCTTCTGCATTGTTAGTACTGGCAGATCCTTCAGAACCATGTTGAACAGCAGAAGCAGTTTGGAAGGGGGGAATACTTCCTCTAGATCATTTGGAGCCAGTTTCTTGTGTTGGGATAGGAGAATCTGTGTATCTTGTCAATCCAATGATATCTCTTGCAATCAGTTCACCAGTGAAGTTACTCAAGATGATTTTGATCATGTCATTTCTGCCCTGCATCAACAAATTGTGGGATTAATTAAGTTAGTACTCATATTGATGTTTGCTTTATTTTTCAGGGTTCATTGAATTATGATTTGATTCCTGTATCTGTGGAAATAGGGAATCAAGGGGAGACATTTGAACAAGTCAAATTTTGCTAGTATCAGACGCCTGCCATTCCATCAAATTTTGAAGTGAATCAACAATTTCAAACTGTTTGTTTTGAGTTTTTCAGTTGTAATGCTTATCCACAAGCTAGACCTTCATACACTACCAACATCAAAACAAACCCTCATAGGACTATCAGTATGCCCTTTTCCAACACCAAGACGTTTTATTTTGCTATGTGTTTTTGGGATCTTTTAGATGGAGAGAGACCCACACAATTTGCTGATGAAGAATTTCTTTGTGTGAATGAAGAAAGTAACTTACAAATATTTGATGGCCAAGAAGAATTGAGTGCTTGGATTTTCAGTACAGATTCAATGCCACAAGACCCATTGTTTACAATTGACTTGAGAACCACAGCATGCAGTTTTGACACTACGTGTGACGTACAGCAAACTTAGCCCAAACAGTCCAATCCTTCACACAGTTCACTGAACTTGGCCTTGAAGATACCATTCATCTTGCTCTTGTTGTTGATTCCAGTCTCTTTCTTGTCTGGTGGTTTGTTCTTTGCTTTGTCCTACCTCTTTCTCTTTGCACTTGTGGGTAAGGAATGCTGTCTGGTCCTCATCTGCAAGCTGTGTTCTGTTCCTCTTCTCTCAAGGACATAACTATGAGCAGTACCATCATTCTTAGTATGAACCTTACTTGATCTTTGTAGTGTTCTCTCGAGGGCAAGAGTAGTCCTTTCAAGCTTACCAAGCTTCTGGTACTATCATTAGAATGATGTTCATCATCATCATCATTGTTGTTGTTATTGTTGTCATCATTCTTGGAAGAAAGCTCTCCTCCTTGTTCTATTTCTTCTTCAGCTCTGGCCACTTCTCTTGGTGCCATTGTCTGTGTTGCCAAGACCCTTTCCTTGTTCCATTTCTTGCTTTCCACTGCCCAGCAGCAGCAATAGTTACTGTAGACACTTTGTTTCCCATGGTTAGATTACTACTACACTACTAGTAGCAAAAAGAGCTGTTAATTAATTCATTCTAGAATTGTGAGGGATTGCTAGTATCCCTCCATCAACACGACAAGTACAGTTATCCTATGAACAAGAATCACTGTCACCTAGTAGCAGTAGCATGGAAGAACAAGGATGGATGATGAAACCATTTTAGTATCACTGTCTGTTGCATATTCCACTCTAACAGCTAGTACCATCATTCTATTTTGTACGTTCCATCAGTATCAGAGGGGCTTGGTGATATCAATAGTGACACCAAGAACACACAAAAGAAGAGAAAAATAGCTTCATTAATAAGGACTTCTGGGTTCAATGTGAGCCAAAACAAGCAAATATTGATTCCTGGTACAAATCCATCATAGGATTCTATGGGAAATTTGGTTTTCAAGGCAGTAGACTGTGCAGTTTTTGATAATTTTGATCTTTCTAATTAGCCAATCAGATTGCTTGATTCCTACTGCATTTTAGTATTAGCCCTAACTCTAAGTTAAAACAAAGTTGCTCTAAAATGCCTCGTAGACTTCCATCACATGGAGAGCAGAATTTCCAGTACATAACTTACTACTGTAGTAATCCTGAACATTGACACTGTGAAATAAGATTATTGATTTCTAACAGGTTATGAGTACAATAGAACACAACAGTTTTTAGCTATCTTTGCTTGTTTGTTAACGCTAGCAAAGTGCCAATTAGAATTAGAGAATCTGTCAGTTGTATAGAATTATCTCTTGTCTTTTGATACCTGTGCGTGCATCATATTGTATGCTGGGTTTCTTGCCAACAAAGAAGCAAAACTGTCACTCCTCCAGATCTTCTTCATCAATACCCAACCAATCACATTCACAAGGCATGTGTTCTAATTCTTACTCCATTAAGGGGAAAAGGATCAGGAAGTTGAGGATCAATCAACTGAGTGGTTTTGGAGGAACAGCACTGTAACTACCACTAGTACCAGCAGTAGTAAAATAGACAAAACATTGCAACAAAAGAAGCTGCAGTGTAACCAGCAAAACACTACCTTGTTCACTTGAATTACTAAGGCAACCACCATTAAAGCAAATTGATTTGTTTTACTAACAAGGGGAAGGGATCAGGAAGTTTCAGATCAATTGACAGAGTATTTTGAAAAAAGCACTTTTTTGCTGTATTTTGGACCACGAAGAACAACTACAAGAACAACGACTACAAGAACAACTACAAGAACAACGACTACGACAAGAACAACTACAAGAACAACAACTACAAGAACAACACCAAGAACAAGAACAAGAACAAGAACAA